CTGTGAAGCATGGTGGAGGGTCAATCATGCTTTGGGGCTGTTTTGCTTCTGCAGGTACAGGGAAGCTTCAGCGTGTGCAAGGTACCATGAATTCTCTTCAGTACCAGGAGATATTGGATGGAAACGTGATGCAGTCCGTCACACACCTGAGGCTTGGGAGACGTTGGACCTTTCAACAGGACAATGATCCCAAGCATACCTCCAAGTCCACTAGAGCATGGTTGCAGAGGAAAGGCTGGAACATTTTGGAGTGGCCATCGCAGTCACCAGACTTAAATCCGATTGAGAACCTCTGGTGGGACTTAAAGAAAGCAGTTGCAGTGCGCAAGCCTAAGAATGTGACTGAACTGGAGGCCTTTGCCCATGAAGAATGGGCGAAGATACCCGTAGATCGCTGCAAGACACTTGTGTCAAGCTATGCTTCACGTTTAAAAGCTGTTATAACTGTAAAAGGATGCTGTACTAAGTACTAAGATTGAATGTCACTTGGGGGTTGAATAAAACTGATAATGCTGTGAGCACAGAAAAGACATTTGTGGTTATTTCATTATAACTGTTATGTTATATTTGTCTGACCTACAAGTGCCTCTTTAATGTAAATGTAAGCAAGATGACTGAATGATCAAAAGCAATGTCAAACTGGCCAAAACACTCAATTTCAGTGGGGGTTGAATAATTTTGGACACAACTGTATTTCACTATTTCAGAGAAATACAGAGCGTAGAGGCAGAGACAGCAGTATGTCCTGAGATTAGCTTAGGCATGAGTTGCTCATTAACATTTCTTTTGTTTCCAAGGGTGGGAAAGGTGTCTGGTGGAGGGAGTCCTTAAGGCCACCTGGCAGGGGGTCTTCATGAGGAATTTGATGTGGGAATGTTCATTAACATATCTTTTGTTTCCAAGGGTGGGAGAGGTCTGAGGTGTGAATGGTCATTAACATGTCTTTTGTTTCCAAGGGTGGGAGAGGTCTGAGGTGTGAATTGGTCATTACAATGTGTGACAAGCTTGGTAGGAACATCCTGTGTTCAGTGTTTTGTCCATCTGAGTACCTTGAAAACGCTTTGCATGCATTTTTCATGATGAAAAAAGGCTCTGGACAGCATCGGGAACTGGAAGAGTAAAAAAACATTTAAAAACGCAAACGCTTATAAACGCTATTTGCCGCGTTTACAAGTGTTTTGCATTTGAAACGTTGATAAAATCGACTGTTGAATGCAAGCTTTCTGCGTTCAAGTAAACGACTGTAAACTCAACTGCCTGTAAACGATGATGTGTACACGGACACATAGGAGAACATTAGGGAGAGTTCAGGGGCTGCTGAAAAAAAAACGCTGAACAGCTCCTGAACGTGAGTTTATCAGCTGCAGTGCACATGAGCCCTTACTCATTCACGTGGGGAGGGAGGGGTGGTACCCGAGGGGCTCTCTTATTTTTAAAGGGTATCTTCAGATTTTGATAAGCTCCCCACCCTCAGAACCCCCCCAGTGTTTTGGGGAAGTAGCCCTTGTCCTCATCAATGTGGAGACAAGGTGCTTTGCCAAAAGGGGTCCTAAAAGAAAATGAGTGAGTTTACATTTGATGATGTGAAATGAATACATTGTTGCAAAGACTGGAAGTAGACACACGTCCATCGGGTTCAACCAGAAAATAAATAAAATAGAACATATCTTGTATCCTCAGGAATGCAATCCTGCTGCTGATCCAGAGGACAAAAAACCCCCCATAGGTCTGATTTGCTTTAACCGGAAAAGAATTCCTTCCTAATCCCAAAAGGCGATGAGACAAAGCTCAGATCAACCATATAACAAAGCACATAATAAGAAAACAAAGAAATGCTTGCTGTTTTATACCACCAATTTACAAATGACAGGGCTGAGCCCTAATAAAGATCACATAGGAAGTGACAAAGTCATTAGCCGGCAGGGTCAGAAAAAAAAAAATTTCATAGCTGCTTGTAAAAATCATTTTGTGTGAAGGGGGGTAAACTCGAATTGTCTCCAGCTATATTCTCTGCAATTTGAATGCGTGAATGTAAAATATACCACATTATGGTCAATAGATAGTGCTGAGGAGCATGCTTACTTCCTATGATCAGGGCCATGGATAAGGGGGTACCACCAGTCCTCCTGTACGGGGCCCAGGCCGGCAGGGGGGCCCAGACAGCTGGGTGAATCAGATTTGGGCAGGGAGGGTGATCGGCACGACCAGGCGGCAATCACTGGAACCTATCCCCTGTATGCAGAGGCGCCCCTAGGGTTGGTGTCACCCGGTGCGGTAGCACTTGGTGACACCCCCTCCAAAGATCCCTGCAGAATGGATTGGATCTGCGGATTGAGCATAATGGATCAGACTCCGATCCATTATGCTCAATCCGCAGATCCGATCCATCCTGCGGGGATCGTCGGCTTTCTTTACAACTTACCTTTTCTTGGAGCGGGTCCGATGTCACCCCGTATAGGTTTGCATGCGGACGATCCTGCGGGGTAACACCGGTGTATCGGCAAGATGTGTCTCCCGTATAGATATGTCCCTCTGAAGCAACTGCGCATGTCCTGGTTTCAGGCACGATCGATCGATGATAGCAGTAGTTCTATTATCGATTGTGCCTGAAACCGGGACATGCGCAGTTGCTTCAGAGGGACATATCTATACGGGAGACACATCTTGCCGATACACCGGTGTTACCCCGCAGGATCGTCCGCATGCAATCTATACGGGGTGACACCGGACCCGCTCCAAGAAAAGGTAAGTTGTAAAGAAAGCTGACGATTCATTATGCTCAATCCGCAGATCGGATCCGTCCTGCGGGGATCATCGGCTTTCTTTACAACTTACCTTTTCGTGGAGTGGTTCCAGTGTCACCCCATATAGGTTGCATGCTGACAATCCCCGCAGGATGTATTGGATCTGCGGATTGAGCATAATGGATCGGAGTCCAATCCATTATGCTCCCCAATCCGCAGATCCCATCCATCCTGCGGGGATCGTCAGCTTTCTTTACAACTTACCTTTTCTTGGAGCGGGTCCAGTGTCACCCCATATAGGCTGCATGCTGACAATCCCCGCAGGATGTATCAGATCTGCGGATTGAGCATAATGGATCGGAGTCCCATCCATTATGCTCCCCAATCCGCAGATCCCATCCATCCTGCGGGGATCGTCGGCATGCAACCTATACGGGGTGACACTGGACCCGCTCCAAGAAAAGGTAAGTTGTAAAGAAAGCTGACGATCCCCGCAGGATGGATCGGATTCATCCTGCGGGGATCGTCGGTTTGCTTTACAACTTACATTTTTGTGGAGCGGGTCCGGTGTCACCCCCTGCGGTCGGTGTCACCTGGTTCAGACTTCACCCCCCGCACCTGCCTCTGGATGCCACTGCCTGTATGACTCTCTCTGCAGCAGCTGAAAGCTGGCTTCTTCTCCTTTCCCTCCCGCTGGTTTTCACCTGCTGCAGAGAGAGCCATACAGGGGATCAGCTCCAGCAATTGCCCCTCCACCACACCCATCACCCTCCCTGAGCACCATACATTTCTCTCTGCTGCCCAGGCCCCCCTGTGTGCCCCCCACCCCCGTAGTGCTGCTGATTTCCCTCTTCTCCTTCCCAACGGCAGCTGCAAGCACACAATAGGGACCTTCATGATGGAAAAGGGTCTAGAAAATATGTCACATTTACCAGCCTCCTTTCTTTCCTGAATGAACACAATTAGTGATCTTTACTGATCACTCACTGTGTTCATTCATAACTGAAGCTTAGTAAACTATGGTTTTTTTTGGGGGGTGGGGGGGGGGGGGGCGGCTGTCGGATTGGCTGTATGGGGCCCCATGGTTTCTAACAGCAGCCTGCCTATGTTAGTCAGCACCATCTAATGGCCCATAATAATAATAATATTTTCAGCATTCACACATCCAAATAGCAGAGAATATAGCCAGAGAACATTTGATTTTGCCCCAATATCACAGAACAAATCTCCATTTTTTTAAAAATACCACCCTATGTATTGGTAAGGAAACAAGAGATGGAGTGGCGATGTTTCATGGACTGAGAACCCACGTGGCTGCCCAGAGGACCACGGCGAGACTTCTCATGTGCCGAGGTCCCGGGGTTGCAGCCATGTTTGCCGTGACATTCTCAAGTTGTGATTATCTTTCACAGCTTGGTAAACTGAGAAAATCTCATCAGCAAGCCGAGGTCCGTGACACAGGGAGGGGTGTGCGCGCTACGAAAGACAATATCGCGGGTGTCACACCCTTTCGTTGCGGTTCACTTCACATTTTACAAACTCATTACCTGTATGGAGCATGTTAACCACTGTACCGTTCACTGCAACCAATTACCCACAATGCATTTGTAGGCAGAATCCATATGCAAAGGAGATTATTTATTTATTACAGGTACTTATATAGCGCCGTCAATTTACTCCGCGCTTTACATATATATTGTACTTTCACATCAGTCCCTAACCCTCAAGGGGCGTACAATCTAAGGTCCCTAACCCTCAAGGGGTGTACAATCTAAGGTCCCTAACCCTCAAGGGGCGTACAATCTAAGGTCCCTAACCCTCAAGGGGCGTACAATCTAAGGTCCCTAACCCTCAAGGGGCGTACAATCTAAGGTCCCTAACCCTCAAGGGGCGTACAATCTAAGGTCCCTGACCCTCAAGGGGTGTACAATCTAAGGTCCCTAACCCTCAAGGGGCGTACAATCTAAGGTCCCTGACCCTCAAGGGGCATACAATTAAGGTCCCAAGAAACCCTCAAAGGAGCTGGTAAATCTAAGGTCCCTGACCCTCAAGGGGCGTCAATCTAAGGTCCCATTAAACCCTCAAGGGGCGTACAACCTAAGGTGCCCGAGGGCCCGGGGTCAGTAGGGGCGCCCAATGAATGTCCCTGGTACCTTTTTTCAAGGCTTTTTTTACAGTCTAAGGTCCCTGACCCTCAAGGGGCGTACAATCTATTGTCCCCAACCCTCATGGGGTGTACAATCTAAGGTCCCTGACCAGGGGTGTACAATCTAGGTCCCTGACCCTCAAGGGGCGTACAATCTAAGTCCCTAACCCTCAAGGGGCGTACAATCTAAGGTCCCTGACCCTCAAGGGGCGTACAATCTAAGGTCCCCAACCCTCAAGGGGCGTACAATCTAAGGTCCCTAACCCTCAAGGGGCGTACAATCTAAGGTCCCTAACCCTCAAGGGGCGTACAATCTAAGGTCCCTAACTCACATTCATACATACAATTGCCACAACAAGAAAATTCAAAGGAGCTGGATGGAAATTTTTTCTCCACTGAACGAATTTCTAAGAGTGAATGTGGTTTTCATTCAAGAAAGTGTCATTAAACCCACATCAGGGGCGGACTGACCATTTGGAAACTTGGGCACTGCCCGAGGGCCCGGGGTCAGTAGGGGGCCCCATGAGATGCCCCTGGTACCTTTTTCACAGGCTTTTTTGAGTTTGGGCAAGGACACAGGGCCCCATGATCCCCTATTGCCCGGGGGCCCATGAGTTGTCAGTCCACCCCTGACCCACATTATATACAACTATCAATAAGTGGTGTAGTACAAGCTGTGCATACTCACTCAGTCACTATGGGATTTGTTTTCTGTATGCTGCAAAAAACCTGGCTGATCCTGCTGTTCTCTATCTCCCCCTTCTGTCCATGTCCCCAGTGCAGTTGGGGATTTTGCAGAGCAGTGTTGGCAGCTCCTGCACATGCTCAGTTTTTTTTGCTGAGCATTTCCTCTATATCACATCTGAAGAGCCCATGTGACTATAGAGCAGGGGTGTCAAACTGGCAGTGCTCCAGCTGTTGCGAAACTACAAGTCCCATCATGCCCCTGCCTTTGGGAGTCATTCTTGTAACTGCCAATCTTGCAATGCCTCATGGGAATTGTAGTTTGGCAACAGCCGTGAGAGCCGCCAGTTTGACACCCGTGGATGCCTCATGGGAATTGTAGTTTGGCAACAACTGGAGGGCTGCCAGTTTGACACCTGTGGATCTGGCAACAGCTCACGCCAGTTTGACACCCCAGCCATGGGAATGCCTCATGGGAACTGATAGTTTGGCAACAGCCAGAGGGTCGCCAGTTTGACACCCGTGGATGCCTCATGGGAATTGTAGTTTGGCAACAGCCCGGAGAGTTTGGCGCAGCAGTTTGACACCCGTGGATGCCTCATGGGAATTGTAGTTTGGCAACAACTGGAGGGCTGCCAGTTTGACACCTGTGGATGCCTCATGGGAACTGTAGTTTGGCAACAGCCGGAGGGCCGCCAGTTTGACACCCGTGGATGCCTCATGGGAACTTTGTGTAACCTTGGCAACAGCCGACACAGGTGCCGCCAGTTTGATACCCGTGGATGCCTCATGGGAACTGTAGTTTGGCAACAGCCAGAGGACCGCCATCAGTGTGTTTTTGACACCCGTGGATGCCTCATGGGAATTGTAGTTTGGCAACAGCCAGAGGACCGCCAGTTTGACACCCGTGGATGCCTCATGGGAATTGTAGTTTGGCAACAGCCAGAGGACCGCCAGTTTGACACCCGTGGATGCCTCATGGGAATTGTAGTTTGGCAACAGCTGAAGGGATGCCAGTTTTACACCCATGGATGCCTCATGGGAATCGTAGTCTGGCAACAGCTGGAGGACCACCAGTTTGACACCCGTGTTATAGAGTAACACATGTGGGCATGTACACAGTGGTAAATGACAGCCTACTCCCTCCTTCTTTCTCCATCACCACTAACCAGCTTAACACAGTAGGGGGTGGGATATTACATCTTTGATTGATGGAGGCTTTACCTCCCAGTTATTCCACTGAAACATGCTGGAGTATCGTGACACAGATTGTGAATAGCCTTGCACCATGTGATCTCTGTGATCATTCACAGATTTCACAAGTAGTAAGCAATGAAGTCAGAAGTGACATCTTACATACTACTCTGGTCAATCACTGGCCAATCAGTGATCACATGATTGGGACCTCACACAGAGGTCCCGTACAACGATCAGTGTTTCGTTGTGTCCGGAGAACACAGCGAGTACCGATTGTGTTGCTGCACGCTCCCAGGGAGTGCGCACAAGCAGGGAGCGGGGAGGCCATTTATAAATGGCCACCGACCCTGCACTGATCCCATCCGGCCGTTTATATACATGGGCCGGACAGGAAGTGGTTAAGTGGATAGTCTCTGAAGGGATATAGTATATATCTTGTTTTCTTCCTTTTGTCCCATTCTTAGGGTTTTATTACATAACTAGTTTGGGGATTAAGGGTGTAGCTTGGAATGCCCTGGGACACTTCAAACATTTTGACCCTTTGATAATCTTTCAGCTTCCCACTGTGAATTTGTACCTATGCCCAATTGGTGGACATCTACATTGTTGATTGAGGGACCTTTCCCACTGCTGGCTGGATCCAATGTAAATAAAAAATTACTAATTAACTATCGACTGTGACAAACTGATTGAACGAGTTGTTGACTATAGAATGATCATTCGGAAGAGATCGATCAGAAAAGAAATTGATCATTTATTGGTGTATATGGTCACTATAAGACGTGTGGCTGATCTTACAATTCCATACAAGAAATGAGTTCTGTAAACAATAAGGCTAGGTTCACAATTACGCGTGTTGGGATTGAGCACAAAATCTTCCTGACATGCACAGAAATGCGCCGTCCTTTAGCAGTTGTGCAGCGGTGCCATTGTTTGTTAGTGGCAGCCCCACACATCTGCTAACTGCACCATGTGGTTCAATTATAGGATTTCTTTTCTGCATTTCACGTGCATGGGGCAGGCCATTGAAATGAAGAAGCTGCCATACACGCAATGCACATAAACGCGCAAAAACGAGCAGAAACACGCCCGCGTATGGTAGCACCTGTAGACGAACCAAGCCTAAAGAAAATTGTTTCCGGAGAAAATTGTATGTTCAAAAACACCCACAGAGCAATGGCAGATCCCATCAATGTTTCCATTTAAGGAAATAGAATTTTCATAAACACGTACGAATAAGAATTGTGTACGACCAATTATCCTACAATATAAAAATAGACACATGAAAAATATCCTTCATATGACGGAAAATAGAGAGAAAATTTCCAGCTCCGTATTGAACAGAAATGTCTTTGGGGCAAATAATTTTGTATCTTGAAATCTATCCTAAAATGGCGTCATTGCCTTCCCTCGAGATGATTGATCAGTTTCCTTGGGATCTTATTAATGGCTCTTGCTGAAAATTCATTTATTTAAAAAAAAAAGATACATTTTAATCCAATTTTCTGTCGCTATTCTGCAATATTCTGAACCGAAACTGCAAATGTTTACCGCGCCTTCCCAAATCAGCGACGAGACAAAGAAATATGACACTCCGTCTCTGCGCTCGTTTCAACACGAGATTTTCCAGCTGAGAAGTGTTTTTCTTCTCTAAATATGAACATCTATCTTCAGAATTGTGTGTATCAAACAATCAATCAGTCGGGGACCGGAAGACGCCAAGCATCTGTAATTATACTGTCAGCGCTGATTGTCAGGGAATTTCTTATGTCACAAAAACATTTGCTAAACATACCGAACAAAACTCACAGCACAAGCGAGGGAAGCTTTTATGTGAGGAGCAAACAAAAGGAAGGTTTGATAAATGAATGCCATAGTGGGATGGCAGCCAACCATTCACTAAAGACCAGTGACAATGCCAAGACATCGGGAAGGTAGCCTATCAGTTCACTACAGACCAGTGACATCACCAAGACATCAAGAAGGTAGTCTATGCATTTACTAGAGACCAGTGACATCACCAAGACATCAAGAAGGTAGTCTATGCATTTACCTGAGACCAGTGATATCACCAAGACATTGAGAAGGTAGCCTATACATTCACTAGAGATCAGTGACATCACCGAGACCCTTCATATTTCTGCAAAAACAGTCCAGTCCATTCACTAGAGACCAGAGACATCACCAAACTCTTCATATTCAAGGGACTCACTAGAGACCAGTGAAATCACCAAGACCCTTCATATTCATGAGAACAAAGCCTATCCACTCACTAGAGACCACTGACAAAACCAAGACTCTTCATATTCATGAGAACACAGCCTATCCATCACTAGAGACCAGTGACATCACCGAGACCCTTCATATTCATAAGAACACAGCCTATCCATTCACTAGAGAACAGTGACATCACCGAGACTCTTCATATTCATAAGAACACAGCCTATCCATCACTAGAGACCAGTGACATCACCGAGACCCTTCATATTCATGAGAACACAGCCTATCCATTCATCAGAGACCAGTGACATCACCGAGACCCTTCATATTCATAAGAACACAGCCTATCCATCACTAGAGACCCACATCACCACATAGAGACCAGTGACATCACCGAGACTCTTCATATTCATGAGAACACAGCCTATCCATCACTAGAGACCAGTGACATCACCGAGACCCTTCATATTCATGAGAACGCAGCCTATCCATCACTAGAGACCAGTGACATCACCGAGACCCTTCATATTTAAGAACACAGCCTATCCATCACTAGAGACCAGTGACATCACCGAGACCCTTCATATTCATAAGAACACAGCCTATCCATCACTAGAGACCAGTGACATCACCGAGACCCTTCATATTCATGAGAACACAGCCTATCCATTCACAGAGACCAGTGACATCACCGAGACCCTTCATATTCATAAGAACACAGCCTATCCATCAGACCTGACATCACCGAGACTCTTCATATTCTGAGAACACAGATCCTAGAGACCAGTGACATCACCGAGACCCTTCATATTCATGAGAACGCAGCCTATCCATTCACTAGAGACCAGTGACATCACCGAGACCCTTCATATTCATAAGAACACAGCCTATCCATCACTAGAGACCAGTGACATCACCGAGACCCTTCATATTCATGAGAACGCAGCCTATCCATTCACTAGAGACCGGTGACATCACCGAGACCCTTCATATTCATGAGAACACAGCCTATCCATCACTAGAGACCAGTGACATCACCGAGACTCTTCATATTCATAAGAACACAGCCTATCCATCACTAGAGACCAGTGACATCACCGAGACCCTTCATATTCATGAGAACACAGCCTATCCATTCATCAGAGACCAGTGACATCACCGAGACTTCATATTCATGAGAACACAGCCTATCCATCACTAGAGACCAGTGACATCACCAAGACCCTTCATATTCATGAGAACACAGCCTATCCATCACTAGAGACCAGTGACATCACCAAGATCCTATGTATTTATGAGAACACAGTCCAATCCGTTCACTAGAGACCAGTGACATCACTGAGACCCTTCATATTCATGAGAACAAAGCCTATACACTCACTAGAGACCAGTGACATCACCAAGATCCTATGTGTAGCACTGCCCCTTGGGACAAGCTGGAATATATTATGGGTCCTGCGCTCAATAGATCCAACCCTAAGCAAACCCAATCCCTCTGGCACAACTGGTAATGAATAGCAAATACACCGCCAAGAAATTTGCTGACACAGGGTTAAATGAAACAAGAACAATTTTATGGAGAATGAAATGCAGTGTAGAGGGGAGGGGTTCCCCTTTC